GTTGGGGCTCCCGGGCCGAGGGCAGCCCAGGGTTTTGTTTTATTTTATTTTATCTATTTATTTATTTATTTTTTTGGTAAGGTTTGTTTTTCTGGTTGATGGCTCCCAGGGGCGGCCTCCTCTCCCTCTCCAGGACTTCTCAGAATGCTGTCATCACACCCTCCCCCATGTCCTCTCTCCCCACCCCCACCCCGCCGCAGTCTAGCCGAGTTTTCCAGATCCTTCTCCATCCTCAGGACTCCCAAGTCCCGGCCTGCCTGGCGTTCCCGCCCTACCCTCAGCGCAGTAGCTGGAGCCGGGTAGCCAGAGGTGAAGTGGCGAGGGTCCGCCTCCCGCGATTTTGGACCCCAGACATCCGTGGCGTGGCCTTCGGGTCCCCCCCCCTCCGCCCCCGGACGTGGGCATCTAAGCAGTGTGGGGAATAGAGGCCAAGGGAGTGAAAGCGTAGGCCCGGGAAGGAACAGCTTTCAGGCCGGGTGCACAGATTGTGGGGCACAGCTTTGTCCTCCCTGCAAGCCTGGCATGCCCACCGGATGAGTTGCCTTGCAAAACTCCTGTGAGCAGGAGACCTTGTGAGAGATGACCCCCCTCCCCCAAGAGCCAAAGGCTTGTTAGTGGGGTATATGTGTGTTAGCATACTTCCTCCCACCATACTAACCAGCCCTTTTTTTTTTGTTGTTGTTAGTACCTGAGCACAAAATGGTTTCAGCTCACGAAAGAAAAAAAAAAAAAATCCCCTTTTCCTTTTTACTAAAGATGAACGGGAAGGAATCTTCTCGCCGGCTTCTCCTAATCGATATCTGTGGAGTTCCGAGTCTGTGTGGGTAAAACCGTCCAGTTGTGAGTTACCGAGACAGTGCTTGCTTGATCGGAAGATGTGCCTGGAGAGAGGTCCTGTGTCTGTCCAGCTTAACAGTACCGCAGTTGTACCTAGCGCCTGGTGAGTGCCACCAGATAGCTGTGGGCTCTGTGAGTTTTCATTCCAGTGAAATGAACTTTTTGGCTCTGTGTGCTCGGTATGATGTTCAGTGACGCCATTTAAGTAGGCAATAGGCTATAATACCGGGCCTTGGAGATGGCTCACATCAGTGGGTGGAGGTGCTTGCTTCATGACTGCCGACCTGGGTTGGATTCCTAACACCCACAGCCTTGAGAGAACAGACTCCTACAAAGTTGTCTTTTGACATCCTATCATCCCTCCCAAATTAGTATAATTAAAAAAAAAAACAAAAACCTATTATACTGGTTTAAGTTATCACTGTTAGATGATTTGTTGTAATCCCTTCTGATGGAACCTAACATGTTCTTTCCAAGAATTTACATTTTTATGAGTTTAACCAAAATCTAAGCTACTCCCTCGGTAGTGAAGGTGCTTGTATAGCACTGGCTTGCACATGTGGCAGTTATCTCTCTGGTGAGAGACTCGGGTAGGACTTTGGGTATTATCTGGCACCGCAAGTTGTGATAGAGAAGGTGAGCTTTACAGGAGTGAGTTTGTGTCTTATCCTTGAGAACAGCATCACAGGCCTAACGCGCCTTTGAGTTCATGCAGCATCGACACTTGCCTGCCCACTGCCTGGGAACAGGTGACTTAATACGGTGGACAGAACACATGGTTTGCAATAAGCAAAGACTTGGGTTGCCCAGTGACGGCTGTGTAAATTGAGGCAGGTTGTTAGCCTCCATTTCTTGTCTGTGAGCCCTGCAAATAGGGTGACTTGATGGCTACAGAAGAGGGAAAGAATTCCCAAAGTGCGCCTGGGGGTGCTGGCCTCTAGTGGATAAGTGATAGTGGTTGCTGTCATGTCATGTGTGGGGATGGAGGTGAGCTCTGGGCACCGTGGTGAGACAGAAGGTAAAGTGTGGGGACACCAGGATAGGTCTTCAGTGGGAGGGCCCTTCAGTGAGCAAGGCTGACACACACAGGCACTGAGGTCTTGAATCCCTGGGCAGGGCCGTGTGCCTCGGGAGGTTTTCCTAATTGTGTATGTCACTTTTTTTTAAAAGTTTTAAACTTTTTATTTTACATGTATGGGTATTTTGCCTGGACATACGTCTGTGCACCGTGTGTGTGTGTGTGTGTGTGTGTGTGTGTGTGTGTGTGTGTGTGTGTATGCGCGCGTCCATGCATGTGCATGAGTGTGTGTAGCATGCATATTTGTGTATTACAGGTGTGTGCATACATGTGTGTCTGTATTCATGAGTATACATATGACTGGATGTAACGTGTGTGTATGAGTGA